CGTATCTAAGGCCGCTTCGAGGCTTACCGAATTTAATACTAACCCGTTAAAATAGTATTATAATACCGTAGACAGGTATTTAAGGTACCTCGCCTCTACTAAGTCCCTATACCTTTACTTTAGACCACGTAATAACCACCTATAGCACGCACTTTACTATACTTCTAACACGGCCTTTAGGGATAACCGTAAGACTCGGTATAGCTCCTAAGGCTATACTATATTATTATTCGGTAGCCTTATAGACTAAAAGGCAAATAAGTAAATAAGCATTATAACTTCTAGTACTAAAGCTAAGCTTATAGCCCTTTCTGCTACTACTAGGCAGTATATCGCGATTAGGCGATTAATCTGCGATCTAACCTTAACCTTTAAAAATAAGCCTCTAACGATATACTACGATAACAACTAAATAAGAATCCTTTTAGAGGCTCCACGCCCTTATGTTATATCTAGATTAAAGTATCTAGATATCGACGCCCTATAGATCCGATAGGTCGTTGAATAGAAGAAGGTCTTAATCGCCTGGATCTCGACCTAAGAGATAGTCAGCGATAGGCTAACTAAGGTACTTCCCCTGCAGAAATATAAGGCGTTTATATATCTATTAGGGATAGAGGACCTAAGCCAGGGGGCTTAAGGCAATTTATAAGAGGCGCGATACTGAGTTTAAAATCTATAGCCTTGATTGACCGTTATTTTAGTGCCCTTTAGATTAATATTGAGGCACCCGTTTTAGACGTTTTAACGTGGTTTTAAGGTTAATTTAACCACCTATTTTAACACGCTTTTAACGTTTTTAGGTATAAAAAGAGCGCGCTTTTCAATAAGCCGTTTAACCGTTAGATTAATATCTAGGCTCTATTTTACCCTAGATTTACAGCTTTAACTAAGCAGAATAGTCAGGATTAATTATATAGTTCTGGGGGGGTGTGTCAGATACCACCACACACTTATCGGGGTATAACTTACGCCATTTATATACTCGGATATAGTACTTCCGACCGATATATCCACATCGATTTCCCCTCCTTTTACCTTATAGTTAGACATTTCCGCAGAGTATCTTTTACTCTTCTTTAATACATACACATATCTTTTGCGTACCTTATTTATATGCTAACACTAACGCTACCGCTATTACTACGGGTAAAGGCGACGTTGCCGCTATTACTCTAGACAAAGGCAAGGCCGTCGCTATTACTATAAGAGAGGCTACTATTATTACTATAGACTATATTACTACTCGTTATAAGGTTCTAAATCTATAGCCTAATACCTAGGCTATAGATTTAGAACCTCGTAACTCTAACGCTACTGATATTACTATAGGAGAGGCTATTACTATTACTATAGACTATACCACCGCTATTACTACGGGTAAAGGTAATAATACCGCTATTACTACGGGCTAAGAAGATATTACCGCTATTATTACGGGAGAGGCTACCGCTATTACTACGGATACCAATACTATTACGGATACTCCCCGGTTTACCGCTACGAGGTTTAAACCGTTTCCCACGCCTTTAATATCCCCGGAAGATCCTGCGCGCGCGTTCCTCATGGTATTAGTGGCGGTCAGGGGCGTTAAGGTGGAAGGAGACGATAATAACTAACGGGTAGCCGTGGATACCCCTAGGGGGTGCTTATTAGCTATACGCCTATTACCCGCGCGCCTATCTATTATAAATATCTATAAGACCGAGAAGGTATAGAACGATAACGCCTAAAAGGCGTTATTTAATGCTAGAAGGACTTATAACCCTATACGCGCGAGGAAGTAAGCTATTAACGACGGCGATATTAGTACTATAGATTCTACTCCCTCTAATATCTTTTAGCCGCTATCGTATATAACCCGCGAGGATCTCCCGCCTTTACTAAACTACTACCGCGATATACGCCTTTACCCGTTACGGGAGCGGTGGTTATAGGCCGAGGGGGAATACCTTAAGGGGCACCGATAAATAGGCTACTAGTAGGAGGTAGGCGGTGATTAGGCTAATAAGTAATAAGTCCTCGCCTATAAATAAGTATATACCTATAAATTTAATAAGGAGGGCACCCTCCTTAAGTGTAAAGCACGCCTTATAGTGCGAGGGGATTAATAAAAACGGTTAGAAACGGAAGATAACTACGCCGTTATATTAGCCTCGCGGTCCTTCCGTATACTAATAGCGATCGCCGTATAACTTAATCTGGAAATAAGGTAGTTCGATACCGTTAACGTGTTCGTTAACGCTAGCCTTCAAGAAGAACTATCTATAAAGATGTCGTGAGACTATAAAGTACTAGGTATGGTCCTACTACTACGGAAAGCCCTCTTCGGTTTAAGGGTATCGCTACTATTATAGTAAGAGGAATTTAGCGGCACGCTATAAAGGATAGGCTTTATAGCCATCCCTAATACCCCCTATATTATAATCCGCGATAGTTTAATCCTATTCTTCTATATTAACGATATCGAACTTATATACTATAAAGAGTACAAGACGGACGCTAACGACCTTAAGACTGCCCTTAAACGAAGCTATAGGTTATTAGGAGGCGAAGAAATCCGTTAGTTCCTAGGAATTAAGGTCCTAAGAGATAGAGCTACCCGTAGATTATAGCTATTATAATCCTCCTACGTGGAGAAGATCGTGGTTAAATACTACGTAGATATACTCTGTCGAAGACTACTAAAGGTCCTATTATTAATAATAGAACCGCTAATACCACGTGATAGCACGCGCGCGACGATTCCAGAGGTCCGTTGGTATTAGGGTATAATCGGTTCTATCCTATACGCCGCTATCGTGATAAGACCCGATATCGTATTCGCCTATTCGAAACTTTCCTAATATAATATTAACCCCTCCTCTAGCCACCTTAAGAGAGCTTAATAAGTGCTGCTATTCTTATACTATATAAGGTATTACTACCTGGAATTCGGTGGGGATAGACTCTTCCTAACCGTAAGCGACGCGTCCTTTAGGGATAATCCAGACTGTAAGAGTTCGTAAGGATATACAATAAAGCTCTTCGGCGGCACTATTAATTAGAAAGCGGGTAAATAACCGATAGTCACGATATCGTTAATAGAATCGGAACTGCTCGCTTTTATAGAGGCCGCTAAAAAGACGTTATTCGTTAGCCGGATATTAAGGGATTTAGAGCTTCGGTTAGACTAATAGTAACTATAGCTATACTATAATAATTAGTAGACTATTAACCTCGTTAATAAAAAGGTATAATGCCTGCTAATAAGGCTACGGTATATCGATATTTCTAATTAGTGGGTATATTAGTTAGTATAGCAGGGCCTCTTTAAGGTTATATACGTTAACACGAAGGAGATAATCGCGGACGGTTTAATAAAGGCACTACCGGAGGCAGGGATTAAAAGATTATAGTAATAGCTTAATTTAACTAATTAAAAGGATCGTATTAAGTAGTCTAAACAACTACACGAAGAGATTAAACGCGCTAAAGCCACGGCCGTAGCGACTATAAAGGCCCCCGAGGGCGTAGCAGATCCGATAGATATAGATCCGATTAAGTAGATCCGGCTAATTAGGATCGAGGAGCTAATTAAGATGGAATTAAATTAAACGGTTAAATAGGGCGGATTTAGATCCCTTCTTTTATAAGGGCGTTTTCCCCTAGCGGTTGATTTTTTGATAGAAAAGTTAAGAGCGTTTAGTTTAAACCAAAGCCTCTGATTAGTTAGTTGATCTGGGAAGACCCACCTTAACTAAGGGGGTGTATCGTATAGGCACACGGACTATAACGTGGTCTATAGGGGATCTAGGGGGGATCCACGCTATAACTAAGGGCTTCGGATATCGGGGACCTCGGGTATTAGGATATAATAGGGGCGGATACTGGAAAAGACCGGATAGGATCTAAATGACTTAGTACCTATAATAGAGTCTTTACTACCTAAATTAAGGGCATAAGAGACTCTCCTAGATATACCTTGATATAATATATATATATAAGATTTCTGCTCTACTAAGTTGATTATATAAGTGCCTTTTGACGTGCGACACGTAGTGGGTACGCTAGAGCTCCTAATCGCGATAGGTTTTATAGGTAATAGGCTAGTAATCCGATATTTTAATAGTTATTTATAGGTTAACAGGCTATATCGGCGCAGCTAGATAGCTTCTTAAATCGGTAGTAGTAGTAGAGGTAAAAAGTAGGTAATTCACTTAGTAAGTAAGACTCTTAATTATCAGATAAAACGTAGTTAAAATCGTTATAAATAGGTTAAAATTAATTAAGACAATTATATATAATTATAACTGTGTTAGACTATTAGGGAAACGCTACCACCGTATTTTATATAGTGCAGATTCTGTATACGTCCACCCGGATTATACTCTTGGCAATCCGGCCTATTACGTAACCGAAAAGACTATGGTCTGTTCGATAGCTGTCAGTCTGATATGTGATATAGTACCTAGGCTAACCTAACCGCTCGCCTACTACCCTTCCTTTTAACTACTAGCCTAGAGGTGTAATATAGATACGTAGCTAAGATATACCGGGACTATCTCGGCCGTGTAATAGTACTACTCCTCCTAAGAAAGAGTATAGAGGTTATTCCCCCGGGTTTCCCCTTTATAGCTACCCGAGAAGCACCGTATAGCTTAGCCAGGCTCTTATAGATTAGATAGAATAGCGGAGTAAGATAGATAATAATAAAATAATAATAATAAAGTTATAAATATCTCTAAGTATTATTAACCGTAGCTACCGATTAGTAGCGCCGGCCCTATAGCTCCTAGTCCTTATAGTTATAATAGATTATAGGGTTAGTCTTATTTATATTATAGAAAGTAGTTTATTAATATAGTTATTTTAGTAGAATTATAAATAGTTCTCGGCTTACTATAATAGCTTAGCTAGTATAGCTCTTAAAAGATAGTAGGATAGGTAAAAGTATATATTATCACTTAGTAAGACTCTTAATTATTAGCTATGGCATTACTAGAACCGTTAAAAATAGGGTTAAAATGAAAGGGTAAATTTAATCAAGGGGATCATATACTTCTCCCCTGCAGGACTGTTAGGGAACTGCTGCTACCGTTTTGTATATAGTAAAAATTCTGCAGATGTCCGTTCGCCAGGACTACCGAGGTTATAATCTTTCGGTCAAGTCCGTGTCCTTTACGTAACCGTAAAAACTACGGTCTGTTCAACACGGACCTTTCGGCCACTGAGTGCATCTGATAGTGATGTGGGAACATGGGTACCTTGGTCTGAGACGAAATGATGCCCGTTCCACGGCTCCCAATTAAGCTCCCTGAGAACGCTCGGGCAGAGTCCCAGGCGCATTTCCCCAGTGCTCTACATACAATAAACACCTACTTCCGGTCGTCTCTTGCAGCGCTGAACCTCTGGCTCCTCAATAGCTCCTCAACCTTCTCCATTGTGCCTAATGACTTGTGCTGGACCAGGTGCTTCCATGTCGGCGTGAGGCTTGATGAAGTAGCTTCAGTAGTGACCATAATCGATTTGCCGACACCTGGATTGTAGAGATAAGATCTTAGTCGCGAACCAGAAAAGGAACAGAATCTGGAGCGTTCTCACCCATCGAACTGAACTCCCAAACATTTGCCTTCATTCCGATGCCATAGTAGGCATGCTTCTGAAGAAAGGCAAGCCATAGCTGGACTGTCTCGGGATTCCCATCCCGGATTTGGATCAGACGGCGGACTGTTATTCTTTCGAAGTTCTCTTGCGATTTCTTAAAGATGAAGCTGCTTCTTGGTACCGTCCATCTTTCGGTGATCCGAGGCAGCGATATCGGACCGAAGGCAGGAAGCTTCAGATAATAAGCCGCACGTAGAGCAAAATCCGAGAAAAATTCCACATTTCGCAAGCTGTACGAGCGCAACTGTAGGTCGCACGAAGGGATGCCATACTCGGCTTCGCGTCGCAAAGGCTTGAGGTAGAGAGCTTGGACACTACGCGGGAAACGCAATTCTGTTGCGTCCGAGTCCACTTGCGTAGCAGCAACAGCAGTTTCCGGGTCGGTTGTCTGGACAGACGCCGTTGTACCGATGTTTCGGGGTGATCCCAAAGCCGTAAGAGCAGTCTGGAGGTATGAATCACTCGTCAATTGGAAATAAAGCATTGATTTGGCAATGGATAAATATAATTAATAACGACTCACCCGGGGCCGCCCAGTATGGCGCATCATTTGTAGGAATCTGATTCCACCCATAGTCGCAACATTGCCAAGTTATTGCAGTATTCGGTTCGATTTCTGAGCATTCGCGCTGCCAGTAAGAAACTTATCGGGTATATCACGTGCGACACTTAGTGGTCCCACCCACACCTTGTACTTCGGAAGGACGTCATGTCCCCTGCTGGTCAAGACGCGGGTTCGGGCCAGTGCATTGCCGTAACCATGGTAGCGGAATTTCAGAGCCCTTGGTTGGCCAATTGGCCGGCTGACGGAAATTGACCAGGAACAATTTTTTCCTTCTCTTTCCCGGCATCACCCACGAAGTTCTTCTGACTGCACATTCCAACTCCTCTTACGTTTTACGTTTCATTATGCAGAAGGAGGACTAATCGCACTGCCAACTTTATCTTCGGTCCTTCTATGTCTTCGATTGTTCTTCTAACGACATATTTCCGCTCAACGGATCGCATACTTTATCTTTGGGCCGCCTCATCGTGAACTCTCAGCCCTATTTCAAGCTGCCCCGGCGAGCTGTCGTACAAAGCCTGCACCGTTACATGTGCAGCGACTGAACCCCGAAATATCGAATGACAAACGAGCTTGAAACGTCATTCGACATCCGTTTTATCATCGACCCAACCCTAACAATAAGTTGGGTGACGGACAGTCATGGCGACCGTATCTGATGAAGCGTTAGGTTCGACGACCTGTCAAAGTAACCTTCATTCATCCCTCATCGTCACTGGCCTCGCACGCGGCTACACGTACTCGAGTTCGGGCTAAGACCATCACAGATAATGCCGCGACGGCGAACCCGACTCCGGAGACACCATCGCACCATTCAGAAGCAGTGGTCCAGGATGGTGAGCAAGCTCATGAAGGTAATACCGATAGCCTCCCAGTACCCACTTACCCCACGTCTACTTGGCGCCAGAAATATGCTAAACAGAGTCAAGCCCTTATCAACCTTACCATACACCTTCCCCATGAACCTCGTTCGATGAACATTCTGGTAAGTCCAAATACTCCTCGTTGTCGTTCCTCCGCTTGTCTGACTAACTTCGACAAGGTTTCCCCCCACGAGCAAGTTCACGAAGTCCGACAGTCCGTTATCGATTTGCCTGCTGCATTCCGATACACCTGTTTTCATTTAGAGTACCAAGGCAGCCGTGTCAATGATTTCTTACCTGTCTCTGAGGTGATCAGCCCGGATCAGCCGCATGTTACTCTCGTCCAGGACCCTTACACGGAGAAGGAGGCCCGTATACACTTAGTCAGGATTCGGGAACTTATCGGGGCTTCTGGGGATCGCACCGATCTTGTGCAGGGAATATCTCCAGGCCTCTCCTTGCTCGACACTCTTAACACCAAGGGAGACGAGGCTGTGCAGGACAACAGAGAAGATGATTTGAAGCAGTACGAATTTCGCGCTTCAGCCTCTGTTACCAAGCTTCTGCCGCCTGAGGCTCAAGAAGCTCCAAAGACAGTCAAATCGATATGCCTCTCGTCTTGGAATCCCCCGCCCTGTCATTTGAGACAAAGAGGACATCTGCTCTATCTCGTCGTTGCGACCTTGGAGGGCGAGCAACACCATATTACGTCTCACGTTGGAGGCTTCTACGTGAACAAGTCTTCCAATGGCAAGTTTGACCCCCAACCAAAGCCACCACCGAAGGGGCATGCTGCGCACTCTCTTCTTCATCTCCTGAGCTTCTTGTCTCCGTCTTTCGAAGCTGCCTTCCGTGCTCTACAGCAATTCAACACTCAACGGGACCCTCTTGCCACGATCCAGATTGCGAATGCCCTCCCTGCTGCGCCCTGGGTAGTTCCGCCCACAGTATCCCTTCTTTCGTCTCATGTCTCCGATCCTACTCGCTCACAAGAGACGTACCTCTTGGCCGGAGGTGACAATACGGACACTCTCCGAGATTGGAATGAGGAGCTACAGTCCGCAAGAGAGCTGCCCAAGGAGACTGTTCAGGACAGAGTTTTCCGCGAACGTCTCATCTCCAAGCTGTTTGCCGATTATAACGATGCAGCCACACGGGGTGCTATCATGGTTGCCCGAGGCGAGATCCAACCTTTGAACCCAACAGAATGCGAGGATGCACAGATTTTCGTCTACAACAACATCTTCTTCTCCTTCGGAGCTGATGGCGTCGGGACTTTCACCTCTGAGGGCGGAGACGAGGCTGCAAGGGTTGCCACGGCCAAGGACGTGTCTGGTGTGAGGCTAGTCAATCAGCTTGATATCGATGGTCTCTACACGACCGCGACTGTAGTTGTGGATTACCTGGGGAAACGCATTGTCGCCCAGAGCATTGTGCCAGGGATTTTCAAGCCACGCGAGCCGGGCGAGAATCAAATTGACTACGGTGCCGTGGAAGGCAAGGATGTCGTTGCTGCTGATGAGCGCTTCATTGCGGTGTTCGAGAAACTATCTCGTGATTTGAAGGTCAAACAGCACCCTGTGTGGAACAAGGATGGCCAACGCGTCGATCTGGAGACAAGTGTTGAAACAAAAGGCCTGATGGGCACTGATGGCCGCAAATACGTTCTCGATCTCTACCGAGTGACGCCCCTGGACGTTGGTTGGCTCGAGATATCGACCAAGGAAGGAGACTTCGCGGAATACCCTCATCGCATGACCGTTCTTCGTCCCGAACTTATAAATTCATTTTGCCGCAAGAAAATGAAAGAGTGGGTGGATGCGGAACTCGCCCGGCGAGGTCGGGGACCCAAGGCTAGTCCGTCAAGGTCTGAGAAAGCGGTCGGCGCTTTGCCTGACGTCGAAAACCCTTCTACTGCGGCTACTGACGAAACGTCTGGGTCGTCCGGCGCGGAGAAAGACGACGACCATATCGACCTGTCAAAGTTCAGCTTCTCGCTAAATCCTGACGTGTTCAGTGGTCAAGACCCACAGACTGACGAGGACAGGCGTCAACTTGAGGCTGACGAGAAAGATGTTCGGCTCGCCTGCCATTATTTGACAGATGAGGTCATTCCGGAACTGCTGCGGGAATTGAAAGAATGCGAGACAAGCTTCCCAATGGATGGCCAAGCGCTCAGCCGACTGCTTCACAAGAGGGGCATCAATATCCGATACCTTGGACGCGTTGCCTCACTGAGTACGGACCCAAGTCTTCAGTGCCTGCGTAACATCTGCGTGCAAGACATGATCGCCCGATCTTTCAAGCACATTGCGTCAGCGTACCTGCGGCAGACGCCTGCTCCTCTTACTTCATCATGCGTGGCCCATCTCTTGAATTGCTTGTTAGGGGTTCAGTTGAACCCCGCACCAGTTCCCGACATCGATCCATCCCTCAAGGCGTTGTATTTGGAAAGCGATTTCTCTTTCGAGACAGTCACCCCCTATTCCCTCCGCTCACAGGTTGTGGATGAGACTTGGAGGCGCTTCCGATACCGGCTCGAGGACCTGCACAGAGACATCAAGCCACTGCAACTGCTACGAGACATCTCACTGAAGCTTGGTCTGCAGCTGCAGGCCAAGGACTACGTGTTCGCCCAAATAGCAACCGACCCGCCTGCTGCGCCCGAAGCGAAGGACCAGAGCGGCACGCCTAATAGCCAGACAAATGGAGAAAGCAAGAAGAAGAAAAAGAAGAACCGTGATATGTCGCCGATGCCTGGTCGTAACACCGAGGCTCGATGCACGTTTTGGTCGGACGACATCGTCAATATCGTACCTATCGTGAAGCATTCCAGCCCTCGCAGCGCTTTAGCTGAGGAAGCTTTGGAGGCTGGACGTATCTCTATTCTGCAGTCGCAAAGGAAGCTGGGCCAAGAGCTCCTTCTGGAATCGCTCTCCCTCCATGAACAAATTTACGGCGTTCTTCATCCCGAGGTAGCGCGGGTGTACAATACTCTATCCATGCTGTACTATCAATTGGATGAGAAAGAGGCCGCCGTGGAACTCGCTCGAAAGGCTATTATAGTCTCGGAACGGACTGTCGGCATCGATTCGGCCGAGACGCTCCTCAACTATCTCAACCTGAGCCTGTTTCTCCATCAAACAGGAGACAGCAAAGGCGCTTTGATGTTTGCCAAACATGCTCTGGATCTGTGGAATATTATTTACGGGCCGGACCATCCCGATTCCATCACCACGATCAACAACGGCGCCGTGATGCTACAACACCTCAAGGCCTACCACCACTCTCGTCTATGGTTCGAGGAGTCACTGAGGGTCTGCGAACAGGTGTTCGGCAAGGGCTCCATCAATGCTGCCACGCTCCTCTTCCAGCTCGCTCAGGCACTGGCGCTCGACCAAGATTCCAAGGGTGCAGTCAACCGGATGCGTGAGTCGTACAGCATATTCTTATCTAAGCTGGGACCGGAGGATAAGAACACGAAGGAGGCAGAGAATTGGCTGGAGCAGCTGACGCAGAATGCCGTTTCCATCGCGAAGCATGCGAAGGACGTCCAAAACAGACGGTTACGTCCTGGCGTTCGGTTTCCTGGAGAAGGACCCTTTAACACGGCGAGTCACTCGCAGGCTTCGCCTTCTACCTTTCAAAAATCCCCGCTCACCACAACGCCTAACATTGATTCGCGGAGCATAGATGATCTTATCAAGTTCATCGAGGGCAATGATCAGGCGAACATGACAAGCAAGCGGCCCAGCAGGGGCAATCCGAAGCGGCGTGGTGAGGCCCGTGCCGTGTAGCCGGCCCATTGCCCTGGTGAGCTTCTCTTTTGGCCTATCGATGGTCGTGGCGGCCAAAAGCTATAGTCATAGTGTACGGATACCTGTAACTACAATCCATTGGAACAGTGTTGTTTCACTAGACATATGGGATGGCTTTACATTGCATCAAGGGGCTAAAAACAAACTGGAAGGGGACGCACGTTGGAGGGCAGGGATCACGGACATTACTAGATGCCCCATTGTAACAAATATAATCCTCACTCTTCGAATTCGAAGGCTTCATTCCGTTATCAATGGCACGGATACTGACTACCTTTAAACTTGTGGTACTGTCCGGGTTCAGCTGTCGAATCTTTGCTCGATGAGGTCGTCAAATTCTCTGTCATCTTATATCCCACAGGGCAGTGTTACTTCGCAGTCATGACTTGCTCCCACTACGGCCGTCAGTTACTGACAGGCCTCGATTACCGGGTGCATGGTAGGAACCGATGCTTTGGAAGCCCCTGAAGCCGTTAGAATGAAGACGAATTGAATAAATAAGGCGTGAAGTGGGAAGAAGAATGTAAGATATGCATGCCTGAACTCACTTTGCCAGGTCGAACCCCTGATCCTCATCGATCTCAAGCAATGGGACCGGATGCGTCTCCACCGCCCTCCCTCGAGCCTCGACGCCTCTTGTCGGGGAAAGAAGGGGTGACTTGCCCGCAAGGGGCGGGCTACTGCCATGAGCGGTCAAACCCCTGGCTAATCTCGACGGACTAAGGTCCAGGTGAGCCACGGGTTTCAACGGCGTGATTCCGATGTCAGCATATTTCCAGAACGGGGCTGGGGAACTTGTTGGCATGTGTTGGCTTGGTCTTTGTGCAGTACTTGGTGGTGCCAGCCTGGGGTGCACGCGGTGTGGTGCTGGCGTGACAAAAGAGGCCCCTTCATCTGGCAGATAGGAGGAGGTCAGCGTCGGGGACTGATCCTGTAAGTTTGAGCAACTTGAAGGGGTTGGTCCGGCGGCTGCCTTCCGCGACCGTGGGAGAGGGCTGCCGTCTGCTGTCAAAACCGCGGCCATGGAAGGTAGATGACGCGTGGCTCGATCAGGGGTCATCTGTATCGCTCGGAATCCCGACTTCGGTGACGGAGATATAGCAGCCGGCATCTTTTTCTTCCGCGCAGAACTGGACTCCCTGGACATGACATCGCTAGGACCGTGCGTGATGTAGTTTAAGTGGCTGGGCGAGGTCGGCGCCGAGGAGCCCCTATGACCACCCCGACCGCCTCGATACGCAGTCCGAGTCATCTCTTCACGTGCCTCGGGGACGATCTGCCATTTCATCCCTTTACCAGGCTCATCAGTGGATCTCGCGACCTTGTCAAACGCCTTATTCAGGGATAGGTTGTGTCGGATGGAGTTCTGCATGTAGCGTCAGCAACGCAGCCAAAGCAACGTAAAATGTCTCTCGTCTGGGTGAGCAATCTACCTGCCAGCCAGCCGGTGGCTGGTGCCTATAATAGGCGTAATTGGTAGTAATGAATGTGTAGATGCCATTGAGGTTAAGCTTGCCATCCGGGGCGCTCATGATGGCCTGAGTGATCATTTGAGCATAGCTGAACTGGGGCTTCACATGCTTATTGTCGTCGTGACTCAGATCGATCTCATTGGGGCTGAGGAAAAGGGTGCCTGAGCCAGAATAGCCGGGAGATTTGTGATCGGAAGGAGGCACCCTGTCCGGAGCGGGTGGAGGGGTCCCAAGACGCTTGTAGTTAGGAGGGGTGGGGGCAATGGGCTGGTTGTAAGACTGGTGATGAGTGCGGAGAGGGGCTCCGGAGGTGCTAAGGCCGTGGTTGTCCTCAAAAGACGCTACGTTAGATGCAGAGGGGAGGGATTTTGCCAGATCTTGTCTAGACAGCCCTGCCCTCTTTAGGTACATCTGATGGATGTGAAGTGTGCTGATCTCAGTGGGTAAGACGAACATCATTTCGTTACCACCCACATCTAGGACGTCGCCACTTTGGAGAGGCCGACAACAGCTTTGTTTTAACGGGATGTTGTTGATCTTGATGCCATTGCGACCTTTGACCTCGAGAAACCATTTCTCATCCTCGGGACTGAAAAATATACGAGCATGTTGTCGTGAGACCATCTTGCTCGGTCCGAGGTCGATGTGCATCCAGTCGTCGTCATCTACGTCCTCTTCGTGGGCAGCCGGGCCGGGCGGTTCCGACGACCGGCCGATGTTGACGTTAAGTTTCGTGACGTAAAATGTCCAGTCTTGAGCGGCAATTTTAGCGTATGCTTTGACACCGTCCCGGTTGGCTTCATGGATCGCATTGGCGTGATCTTTGCTTGCCTGTACCGGGCCTTCCTTTGGGCAGAGGAGGCATTGGATGATTTGGGCGAGGAGTTGATCGCCATCTTTTATCGGATTTTTACGGTCGTCACCTGCACAAGACTCCGCGTCTTCAGCCTGCCCGGATAGGTGCGCATCCTGCGCCTTAAGAGCGTTGCGACGTTAGTTGCAATGAGCCAATACGAGCAGAGCCCTAAGTTGACCAGACGGGACTTCATGAATCACTAACTTTCTTACGGCGCTTCGCGGGACGTGTCGGTGAGGATTCCTCAGCCTGGGCGGTAGAAGACTCTTGACGCGGGTCGCGACGAGGTCTCTGAGTGCGCTTCGTCGATGGGGGCATCCCGATGGCTCCGAAGGTAGGGTAGGTAGTAACTGTACCGGCCTCTCCCAGACAGGTAAGGAAGAGACCCAAAGTTCGCAAACTCGAGCCCAGCGGGAATGTATTGTCGACAGCGGGTTACATGGAAATTCTCGAAAGTGTCAGTTAGGTGGCAGCGCAAATACCTAGCTCTGCTGATGGAATCGTGCTGCAGTACCGCGATAGTGTGCAATCATCATGCGATGACTAGCCCTCAGAAACGTATCGCCGGTTTATATACTAGTTGTACAAGGTATATGCGACAGACTCTAATTTAATCTAAAGACGAGACCTAGTTAATACTGCGTTTCTTTTTAATTATATCCTCACGGCCTTAGGCGGGGGACCTTTTTCCTTCCTACTATATTTCTATAGCGTAATAGTTAGTAATAGGTATATAGGCCAGCACTACTCGCCTAAGTAAAGCTAGGTTAGGTCTAAATAAGGTTCCGGGCGGGGCCCCGTATATAGTTAGCGACCTTAAGCTCTTTCCGTATCTATACCTTAATATAGTTACGGAACTTAAGTTATTAGTCTATATTTAATAGTATGCCTATTAGTCTCTTTAGACTTATAGGGAAGGGTAGTAGGCTAGAAGGTCTTAATATAAAGGTCTACGAGTTGCTTAAATCGGCTATAGAGCTTAGTAGCTAGCTAATATAGTATAAAGCGTTAGTATAGCTAGTACTTATTAACTCGTAGCTCGCTCTTTAGGCAGGTTACGTAGGTACCGTTCTAATCTATAACTAAATACTCGGGGAACTACTACTTAACTAGGCTATAGGCGCTATTATAGATTAGGTTAGGGTAATTATCTCTCCGATACCCTTCTTAGCCGTAATAGTAGTAGCGAGCTAGCGGGGGCTAGCCGTTATTCTAGGCACCTCTTTACTATTCTAAGCGGTTATCGTGTTACTAGGTTAGGCGGTTATCGTTATATCGGTTATTATTATATCTAGGGCGGGGTCCTCTGTAGTAGATCTCCTCGATATACTAGGTGTTATTAGACTAGTAAGCGGTACTATTAGCTTAATTAGGAGCGGCGAAGTGTATTAAAGTAGTTATTATAGATTAAGGGGCGTGCTTAAGGACGGTATGAAAGGCGTTCTTTAGATTAGACTTTATAGTAAGGAGGGCTTAAACCTTTTCCGTGCCTATCGTCTTAGACAGGGCAAACACTTAAGTAATAATACCCCTAATACCTTTAGCTCTATTATAGATAAGGGAAATAGTATACTTCTTAAGGAGGTCGGCGAGCTTATCTATATATAATTAAGAGGCTATAGACTCCTAGACTATAGTAGGCCGCCTTAAGATAATAGGCTAGAAAGCAGTATTATTAGACTAATTAGACTTAGCTATACCTAGTATAGCGTCTCCGTTTATAGGCTTACTCTCTACTTCCTAGATATCTATAAACTACTCGCGTAGTAGTTCCGAAAATAGCCTATAGCTCTTAACTATCTTTCTTAAATCAGTCCCTCGGATTTTAAGCTTATTAGCGATAAATATATAGATATCCCTATATAGAATAGTAAGGATAATACCGTAAAGCTCGGAGTCCTCGATAAAAGTGCCTTAAACCCGCTCGGCCTTAGCCTTCTAGATAGTGATTTATTATAGTAAGTCCCTAACCTAATAAATGCTATTAATCTTATATGTCTTATATTTTACCCGAAGCGAATAAGCCCTATAAGAGAAGTTAAGTTAGTAGTTAGGATCTAGATAAGAGTACTCTTTAACAAGCTTCTTAACTAGATTAGACTAACTACCTTTAACGGCTTAAACCTCTTTAACTAGGCGTTCGATAACGGGATAAATAGCCGTATCCGTGTATAGATTAACGTAGGTGATCTTATCGGCTTTACTGAGACGGTTAAGCTTAATATAGTTATCGTACTATTAAAGGAATATAGAGAGGGACTTACTACTAAAGCGGGGAGCTCTAGTAATAAGGGGATTTAGGGGTACTCTTAATATAGTAATAATAGGGGGTAGGGCTTTACTAATCTCGGCGATAGTACTCTTTTAGTCACGGCTTATCAGGGTTTATAGTAGCTTAATTAGGTCTTTAGCGGTAGTAAAGGACTACTAATACTTAGGGGCGGCGGTATTTGGAGTATTCGAAGCGGGCTAGGCAGTAAAAGCAGGCTAGGTAGGGGTAGTAGTCGATTTATAGGCAGGGGCAGATCTAAAGGTAGATCCAGGGGCAGTTATGGAAATAGTAGTTAGAGCCGTGGTAGACGTAGTAGTCGGCCTAGAAACGGGCTGAGGTAAGGCCGTAGCCCCGATATCGTAGTTCCCCTAATTAAGGGTAGTAAAAGTAACGGGTGTAAGAATAAGGGGAATAGATGGTAAGGGAGCCTTATTATCGGAGTCGCTAATAATACTAATAATAGGGGTAAGCTCGCGATACTAAGTCTAAGTATCTATAGTGTTTTAGGTATAAGTATAAAGGGGTAAGCGAATAATAATAATAGGGTTAGGGCGTTTAGGAAAAGGTTCTTCGAACTAATTATCTAGTAAGAAGATCCTATAAGTGTTCTAAATACTACCCAGGTTATTATATATATTATCGTATCTTGATAAAAGTAATAAGGTCTTTAATAAGAGGGTAGTAGCGGTCCTAGGTCTTACTCCGTGATATTTATCTTCGGGGTTAAGCTTTTCTAACTTACCTTAAAGGAAGAGGCCCCCTATAATTAGGAGATTATCTATTAGTAAAAGGGCTATACTTACGGATATTAATATTAGTAATATTATACGCTAAGTCTTATAAAAAAGTATTGTAACTTACGTATAGGGTCTGTAAAAGTCTTATTTATTAGACTATCGGGTCTTTATTTAAGGTATCGTTATTTCGCTTCCACGCTCGGTATTAGCGTTTTCCTTAGGTTATTAGGGGTTAGTTACCCTAATCCGGGTAAGCTACTCTTAGCGGTCTTATCTTTTCTTTGTTAGTATATAAGAATCTTTTTTTTTATTTTCTTTTATTCATTACGCGTATACAGCCCTAAAGCTATGGCGCGGCGCCTATCGCTCTAAGGGCTAAAGGCTATTAGAAGCTAGGTATAGTAAAATAGAGCGTACTAAATAAAGGAAATCCTCCGTAATAATCTGATTAATAAAACCTAATAGGTAAAAAACCAAAGCAAAATAACTAGTCCGTAGGAATCTTGGTTTACGCCCTATACTACTTTGCCGAGGCTATTTTAGTAGCTAAAAGGTAGGCCTATAAGGCCTATATTCCTCTTTTAGTACCGAATAATAGCGGTAGAGATAGTGGTAGGCCTGCTAGGGCTTCCCGTAGGGCTTTTCGTTCTTCTTTATAAAAAGGGCAGGAAAGAATAAGGTAAGCTGTATCCTATATAGGGGAGCCGGGACAGGAATAGCGGTGGTTAGCGTAGTTTTAGGCCCTTTTTTGGTGGGTTTTTAGGTATCCGAAGCCGGTTTTTGACTGCGTAAAAGCCGATTTTACCCACCTAGGGCCTTATATTAGTAGTGGTTTTCGGGAGAAACGTAGGTTATCGCGGACTAGTCGCTTATATAGGCGGCCTAATCTAACTAATTTACCTTTTTTCTCCTCCTCCTCTTCGTGATTCTATAGGGTTTTCTAGTCTTAAATAAGGGCTTTATTTACCCGGCATTTTAGGTGGCTAAGGGTAATTAAGCTAACGGATTTAGTAGCTTTTCCGGGGTTTAACGCCCTTTTAGCCACCTTATCCGCTAGTTCGTTCCCTTCTATCCCTATATGCGAGGGGCACTACTAGATAGAGACCGAAGTGCCTAGTTGTTTAAGGCTTAGAATAAGGTCTTTAGCTTCTATAGCCTACTATAAGGTGCGCTGAAGCTTCTGAATAGCCGCCTAGGAATCACTAAAAGTATAGCACTCTAGGGGCCTAGGCGTCTACTCTAGGGCGGCGTAAAGGGTCTGGAGAATAGCGTATAATTTAGCGTCCGCGACTTCGGTAGCAGCTCCTAGGTTAAGGCCTGTAGCTTTACAGGGCCTTCCAGCTTTAGTCCACTGTATAATAGCGGCTATAGCCTGAGAAGGCCCTATAAGGGGCCTGGTAGGGTGGCCTAGAGAGCCGTTAGTATAGAAAATAGTAGCCTATTGCCCTAGGCCTTGTTGAATTTTAGCGAGGGCTTCGAGGTAAGCTGTTTTCTAATCGGATATATCGGGGCCGGTATCTATAGGCCGGTCTTTAAGGGAGAAAAAGGGTCTTAAGTCTGCTATAGGCTCCGAGGCCTAGGGGGCCTCCCACCTATCCGACGGACCCTCGATATCCTAAGACTAACCTACTAAAGCCACTGTTTCTAGGCCTAGCCTATATAGTTATAGAGTAGGCTATAGGTTCTAAAGAAGGGCGAGGTTTTCCCGGTTTTTGTTTGGTAGGAGCTGGCGTTTAATCGGGTGGTTCGGTAGGAATTTTAAGATCCTAAAGGCATAAAGCCTATTAGACCTAGTTAACCTAACCGCCGCTGGGGGGACCGCTACTTCGAGTTCTAGAGGTTGTAAAGGGGCCCCTCTAAAAGCCCCTAGGGCCCGGACTAAAGCGCCGTACTATAGGCGTTCTAGGCGGTCTACTAGGTGTTTTTTAGATGATTTAGGGTTCTATTAGAGCTGTGAGCTAAAGTTAGCTAAGGAGGCTATATAGGCTATATATAGCTGGTGTAGGGCCTTATAAGAAAAGCCCCTCTACGAGCTAGCTAGCCTATGTAACCTGTTTAGGGCCCCCGAAGCTGAATTTAGGCGTTTTTCGACGTGGGGTTTAAAGGATAGCTTAGGATTAAACCAGACCTCTAGCCACCTAATAGCACCTAGCACGGGTTTAACTAGGTGCCCCCTTATAGTAACTAGAGTATTTTCTTTAGAGCGTCTTCGGTGGAAGTGAATAAGCTCTGTTTTCTTGGGGTTAAAGAGGACTTAGTTAACTTTTGCTGCGTCGAAAAGGGAGGCTACGGCTTTTTCTAGGGTTTTATAGTTTTTCCTAGTCGATATAGATACTATAGATAGCTGGAAATCGTCGATATAGGATAGCTAAAGGCCCTGAAACTCCGGCCCCGCTATAACCTTACTAATATAAATTAGGAATAGGATAGGGGAAACCGGGGGGCATTATAGGACGTCTATATTTAGGGGGGTGGGCTGTTGAACCTGCCCCTTAAAGGCTAGTTGG